AGGACCCTCAAAACAGGGATTCTGGCAACACCAGATGTTAGAGGATTTTTTTCTTAATTTAGCAACTGAATTTATCCACCTTTTCGTTAACACGACCCGGTAATGAATGTTTTTCTACCGAATATCCGCTGTTTTTACTCGGAGCATTACGTAACTTTCCTTATACTACGTATATATATATATATATATATATATATATATATATATATATATATATATATATATATATATATGTACACGGGAAAATAAAACCATGTGCGCGGGAGGTGAAAATACCCGACACGGACACTTCACATAAAGTCATGTAAGTAATGTTTGAATACAGACTTCCACGCGCTCCATGGCAAAGATGGCTGCAGCATTGAGGTCTCACCGCGGTTGGGGCTGTGAAATCTGATTCTGCGTGAGATGGATACTTTCTTATGATTGTGGCGTACAAGAGAGACAGGAAATAAAGAACTATCTCCTTGAACAAACATATTTACAAGTATCACTACCGACTGAGATAGTTCAGCGCATCTTGTCCATTAAATGTTTCAGTAAAATGCTTCTCAGGCTGATGCTGGTTAAACTTTCGATTTCTATTGAAGGTCGTATATTACATTTGAATTTATCTTTTCTTTTAAAAATATTCGAAGAAAGAATGCTTGTGATTTTTTTCCTTTCCACGAGATTCTTTGCAGTAGCGAGTTTACTAAATGAAATACAAAACGTCTCCCACTTCTTTCGTTCAATTATAACTTCTGTACAAATCGGTGTGAACGAAATGTGTATTAGATGTTGACGAAAACTGAGAACAAAATAAATGTATAATTAGATGTGTCAGAGAGGCTAAGGAAACAATTTTGTATTAGTAACTATTTCAACAATTTATAGGGTTTTCCCCCCATAAATGTTTAGGAAGAGGTTTTGTGTCTACATGGTTTATTATTCACAATTGCAAACCAGCCAAAATTTAAGGGTTGTGCGGAAATCCACGAAGTGACCCCAAACATTTTAAATATTTTCTTTGTATTTAAATCCCTAATGCTTTTGTCCCAAACATAATTATTAGGTGATTCAGGATACATGAAAATTCGCTGGTTTCAATAAATTTGTTTAAATAAACCAAGCATTGAGTCCGGTGCAATTTAACGGTTCTTGAAGCAATGCCTCAGAAGCATCGTATGCAATAGTACCGCTGAACATAGCGTTATTCTGTCATATTGTAAGCGAAAATTCAGTAGCAAATTCATATGGGCTCACATACCTAGTATTTAAAAAAAGTAGAAACCTCATCGTGAATATGATATCCATTTTGTGTTTGGCATGTTTTGCCTCATAGCCATTGTAAGCATAACTATAACTTCACACCACGAAGTCTGTAATGACGATATAAAATTTGTATTTATTAATTTTAAGATATTAAAATTTAGTATTAATACTACAAAACCTGTTAATAATAGCGAGCTATAACACATCTGGAGCCAACCATCTTTCATTTGAAGCCAAAACGATGTAATCTGATTGAACAGAAAGCACAAATTTCTTTAAAAACCAAAATGTCCAAACGTAAAATGTAAATTTTATGCCAAAGCATTTTTTTCCGTGATTTGATTTAAACTTGATGCTTCGCTACGCGTGTTGAAGTTGAGGCCTAAGGCCTACGTGTAAATCTATAATATAAAAATGAATCGCAAAATGTGTTGGTAAGCGCATAACTCAACAACGCCTGG